TATTCTATTCTATTCTATTCTATTCTATTCTATTCTATTCTATTCTATTCATTTGGAAAGCAGAAAAAGTATTTCTAATGTGCCTGAACATTCATAAATCTTTGCTTAAATCTAAATGTTTATGATTTCAAAATCACTCGCACTTTGAACAGGAGTAATATTTGTAGAATCTTCTCCAAACAGGTGCTCAGCTGATGTGTTGAACTGTAGCTTATAGTATATAAACCTATATATAAACTTATAAATCATATTGGCCAAATCTGTCTCCCTCTAGGTAGAAATAGCCAAAGTTTTAAAGCATATTAAGGATTAACACCATTTCCATCTCAAACCGTAAGTCTCTAGTAAGAGTTAAGTGGCATAGAGGGCCAATGAAGAGAGACAATAAATTTATTAGCTAACTAAGGAATAGTGTTATAAATATTTTTTCCTGCCATCAAGCTATAACAAAGTACATCAGAACAGTCTTGGCCCATAGTTTGCATTTGTTTCTCAAATTATCTAAACAAATAACTCTAAGGCTGCCTTCAAGCAAGATACAGACTCTCCAGCCATTCTTCCCTAAAACTAGTAATCGGAGGCGTTCTGGTTGGAACAACTTATATCCTGCTATTCATTTAACAACAGCATCTGCCTATGCCAAGTCCCTGGGAAGGACTCAATAGGTGGATAAAAATGCCAAATACAGCCTAAACATCTGGATGACTGTGTGACCAACCATAATGTGCCAGTAAGGAAAATTGGTGGCAATATACAGTTGAAAAAATAGTCAGACATGCCCAAGTTAAAATATGTTGGATCTGAATACAAACTGATATAGTCTTATAACACACCAGATTTAATTGTAGTTGAAAAAAAAAGAAAGTGTGGATAATGCATGTGGAAAGCAAAGAATTGGGGAAGATCACAAAATATCAAGGTCTAAAAACTGAAGTTGAAAGATGATAGCATAAACTGCTGTGGCAGTCCCAGTGGATATTGGCATGTTAGGTTGCAATACCCAAAAAACCTTGGACAGCACTTAGAAAATCTGCATGTTGACAAAATTGACACCTGCCAATTACAAAGGATTACACTATTTGAATCTGCACATATACTATGCCAACATATTATAGGTTTCTTAGGAAGAGCTTGATGCATTTAAAGGCCAACACCACTAAAGAACTGACAGCTGTTATTTCACATTTTTGTGTAAAAACAATAAAAATAACCCTCCAAACAAAAGTGGAATATCCTATCCTAATTTTAAGGCTTCCCTGTCAGCTCTTGGAATTTCAGTTCTGACTGTGTATATTAGCCCTAACTGGTAATTTATCCTGCAATTATATAATCAATAAATGCTGATGCCTTGGTTAATCCAATTCTGGCCAACCCAAGCAGATGCCAACTTCTCAATCCCTTACTGCATAATAAATGGATTTGTCCAGGCTTTTTGGTATTCCTCAAATTCCATTCAGCATTATCTAAGATATCTTTAAAAATTAGGGGATGCCTGGTATGGTCTTTCATATCTTAGTATGTTCAAGAACATTCTGAAGACAAATTTATGATTGTGTCAAAATGGACCCCAAAAATCCAAAAAAACATAGCATATTCACCATCCAAAATGGTTGACTAAATGAGTCCTTAATTTCTTATTCTTTTTGCATATAAGAAAGCTGGGATAGAAAAGCACCCAGCTAAATTTTTTTAATTTGATTCAAAGCAGGCCCTAGTCTACTGCAATCATACAATACCTCAGACAGTAGCTCATAACAATTGTTAATAATATCTGGTGCACATGATGAGGCTGTAATGGCTTTAAAATGAACAGCAACTGCTCAGGGAAGGAACTTGTGGCACATTTTCACAGCAAGCATATAAGACAACTATGTAAATGCAAGCTATTACGACTCCCTGAAGCACTGCAGAAGGCAACTCATCACCTTTATGGGTCTTCCCCCACTCCTCCACTCAGTCCCTTATTAGATACTTCCAGTCCACAATTCACCAAATAACTTTAGGATGAAGAATAGTCAAACTCTTGTCTCAATGACTTGGTTTACCTATTTATGATATCTTTTAATAAAAAGAAAATCTTCCATTGTTTCTCAAAGACCCAACAATCTCATCACTAATTAACCCAACATGCTGCAAAAGTTATGAAGTATCAGAGATAGTTACAAAGAATAGCTCTGTGAATATATATTTGTGAGAATTTTGTCCGTTTCTATCCATGTACACCCAGTATTTTTGAAGCCACTTAGATACTATTCATTTTCCTTATATTCTTCAAGTTTTGTCCTTCCTAATTTAATTATAGTGCTTTTTATGACAATAATGTCAGACTGAATACAGGGCAATTGCAATAGAAATATCAGATTTTAAATCAGGGACTGCTTTAACCTGATCCAGAAAATACTAGCATTACTGATCTCAATCATTAAATAGTTTGTACTGGTAAAAGGAAGCTTCCAATAGTATTAGAAAATGTGTGAGAAATTTTGGACCAATCTCTCCCAACCTGAGCACCATCCAGGTGAATATATATGTAGACTTCAACTCCCAGAATTCACTAGCCAGCAAGTTAATTGCTGATTATTCTCAGGGATTAAGTCCACGTTGGATACTTTTTACACCAAAAGTTACAGTGCAATCTATTTGCCATGCCACCCCCCAAAATAGTTGTACTTCACCTTGAAACTGAAACATGTATGCATTAAAAACTTCTAAGGAGATTTTATATCCCATTGCAGTGCAGTGCACTTTATATAGAATCAGATTTTTGACCTTGAAAGATAAAAAGCTGTCCTGTTTATTCTGTTCTGATATGGCAATTGAATATCACACAAGAGACGTAATCCAAAGGCTGAACTGATCAACTGCAACCTTGTTTAGAATTCTCATTAAAGCCTCTTGGGAAAAGGAGAGTAAGAACAGCATAGCTATTTTACAAATGTAGCCCATAAGATAGGTTCTATACATAAAATTAAAAATGTAGAGAATTCTGCCAAGCTTCTTGAGGAAGCTCTGCAAGTCCAGTGAATTAGGTGGCATAGAAATCATTCTAACAGGGCAGGGCAAGACAGAGCATACAGCCATTTATTGGGGGTGTTATAGGTCTGGAGTCTAGCACATGTCCTAAGCAAGAATATACTGTATATTCCTTCATCTATTTCACTTCTGACATAATTTTCTGTCTCTGATTATTCCTTTCTTTTTGCCACATATGTCATATTTTACAGCTCCTTCCACTCTTTTCCCCAATATACAAATGTTTATGAACTTATATATTATATATGCATCTATTTCCGTGTCACTTGCAAAGTTTAAAAAGTATAATTTGAGTAAGTTCATAATCAAGTAAAATGAAATGCAAATTGAAAGAATTTCTTTTCCATTAGGAGTGTTAAGTATGCTGTCAGGGCATTCTTCTCAAACCACAGAGGAGAATATAATGGGAAGAAATTGATAGAGCTAAGAAAACATTTTCAGCTACAGTGCTGATTATAAAATGAAATTACATTTTCAGCCAAATAACTTTGCAAAGAGACTTAATTTACAGGTGGATAAATATGGAGTGAGTTTTTTTGCATCTTGACAGAATTTATGCATGTTCTAATTTCATATATACATGATGTAAAAATGTAGTATTTTCTTTAAAATCTACTGTTTTCTATCTATTGTTTGAAGTAGTACAATCCTAGATGTAAACTTCTATTTCATCTATTCTATTCTTCACTCAGACTGATTTTTTTTCTCTTGAGAAGGGTCTCTTTGCTTAATACAGCTGCTGTTATTTATTGTCTCTCCTCAAAAACATAATACAAGTGCTAGAAGTATCTTCTGCTGATACAAAGTAGTGGTGTTTATAGCAGAAACAAAGAAAAATTATGCTAAAGTATCGCCTTGTTCACAAAGAAACTTAAAAATACATTCAGCCATTGTAGTCTCAAAATCCCTGCTGATATCTTAATGAGCTCTAGTGGGACAGAAACCACCAGTGTAGCTTTAATGATGATTAATTATATTTCGGTTCCAGAATGTCTGTCTGGAAGGAGCATCATGGCTGTGTATGGTGAAGTCTAGAAAAATGTTATTTTATTGCTCCCTCCTCATTCATCTTGGGGGTTGAAATTCACGTATTGTATGTGAAGTGCTTTCTTTGTTGTTTCATAATTTTTATTTAAAAAAAAATATATTGCCATAGTAAAAGCAAACACAAATCAAGCTAAGAGAAAGAGAAAGAATAAAAGTGCAAAGAGGGGGAAAAGATGGTAAAAGGTAAAGAAAAAATAACGTAAATATAAAATATTTTATATATATTTAAAATGA